CAGGTCCCGCAGGCGCCCGCGCAGGGACGAGCGATTCCGGGTGACCTCCCGCAGCTCCTGCGCCAGCTGCTCCGACTGCTCCTGCACCCGCAGCGCTTCCCGCGCCAGCGGCGCCCGCGGGCTCTCGGGGCACGGCCCCAGCACCCGCCCCGCGCCCCGCAGCTCCTGCTGCAGGAAGGCTGGGGAAGGGAGGGGGAGAACACGGTCAAGGTGGAGGGCTTAAGGGGGGGATCCCCCTAAGAAGCCCCCCTAGTCAGCCCCGCGCCCCCCGCGGCACTCACTGAAGGTTTTCTCCATGTCCTCACAGCGCCGCACCTCGCCCACGAAGCGCCGCTGGAAAGGGCTCACTTTGGGGTTCAGCTGTGGGACGGGGGGGGGACAATCAGGGCACGGCCCCACGGGATGGGGAGTCCAGCATCCCGGGGTGACAGGCAGCACAGGCACCTCAAAACACCATCCCAAATTCCCGGCACCTCAACCCAGCCTGACCAACTTCCCTGCTCCCGCGGGCCCAGAGCACCCCAAACCAACCCTCCTGCACCCATAAGTATCCCAAATCACCCGTCCCAAACAGCCGGCACCCTAACCCACCCAGACCAATTCCCTGTCCCCAGAGCACCCCAAAACACCTATCCCAAACCCAGATCCACCCAGACCAACCCCCAGGACACTCCAAAAGACCCCACACACGCCCCCCCCCCCAACCCCTACTTACATCCCTGAACTCCAGCAGCCCGCGCTCCCCCAGCTCGCTGATGCAGCTGTAGGCAGAGGCGGACTGGAGGAAGAGCTGGGCCAGGCAAACCTCCTCGCTGCGGAACAGGGACCCCATGGCCTCCCCAGACCCCCAGAGACCCCCAATCCGGCTCGGGGTGCGGAGGCGTCAGGGCACCCGCCTGGGGATGGGACGGAACGGTACAACAGGGAACGGGATGGGATGGGAATGGGGGACTGAGAGACAGGGGGGGTGAGGGTTGGGAAGGAGAACACCAGGGCAGGGGGGGTCACCCCAGGCGTCACCCCGGGGGTCCCGGAGGCGGCGGCGGCGGCACCGCGGTGTCGCTTTGCTGTGGCCGTGGGAAACCGACCCGCTCCGGTCACACGCGGCTCTTCCCAGCACCGGGCTGGCAAAATACTTTCCAGACCTCCTATTTCCCCACAGTCCCCGCCCCGCTCAGCTGCCTCTGAGTCAGGGCCAGCGAACCCCCCCGCCCCGGGACCGCCCCGGTCCCGCTCCGGGCCCACCCGCCCCTGCTGCCCACCCTGCGGCGGAGCGGGGCGGGGATCCGCACTTCCTCTTCCCCAGGAAGAGCCCGGCCCCGGGGAGGGACCGACGGGCCCGGCCCACGGGAACCCCCGTCTCGGGACATCCCGCATCCTACACCGCGGTGGGAAGGGGCCCCTCGGAGACAGGACCCCTTGCGACATCCCCCGAGGAGGATGGCAATGGGAAACAGCCCCCCCCACACCCCGGAGCCGGGAAACCCCCCCACCGGTACCACCAGGACACTCTGGCAGCGCCACCAGGACTCCATACCAGGATCACCAGGCACCCCACATTGGTATCACTGGGACCTCCATACCGAAACCACCAGGCCTCCCACACTGGTACCACTGGAATCTCCATACCAATACCATCAGGATTCCCCACGTGGGATCACTGAGACCCCCAGGACTCCCACACCAGTACCACCAGGACCCCCACACTGGTATCACTGGGACCTCCATACCAAAACCACCAGGACCACTCCTGTCAGGGAGGTTGGACCCCCACACTGGTACCACTGGGATCCCCGTGCTGGGATCACACTGAGACCCCCATGATGGGATCACTGGGACCCTCCTGCCAGGATGACCAGGACCCCCACACCAGTACCACCAGGATCCCCCTGCTGGGACCACCCAGACCCTCACACTAGCACCACTAGGACCCACAACAGTACCACCAGGCCCCCCGTACCTGGCTGCCCCTGGAAGCTGGAAATGAATCTCCCAGCTCTCCCCTAATTCCCTTCCAACGCTGCTGCTCCATCCCTGCCCACCCCTCATCCCATCCCACACCTTTCTGCGCAACCCACTCCCCCACCCCAAGGTTGGTGTCACCCCCAGGACCCTCGTCCTCCTCCTCAAAACACAACCACACACCCAGGGATCCCCCTGGGGCTCAGGGGGTCAAACCCCAGCACTGGGAAGGAAAAGACACGGAGCTGCGGGTCGGGAAGGGGCCGGTGCCCCCGGTAGTGGGTGAACCCCCAGACCCTTTATTTGGTGGTGGGTGGGTGCCTGGGGGGCCGTCACCGGTACAGGTAATCGGCCTGGATGTTGGCAGCGATCTCGGCCTCCCACTTGTCGCCATTGTTGAGCAGCTTCTCCTTGTTGTAGAGCAGCTCCTCGTGCGTCTCCGTCGAAAACTCGAAGTTGGGACCCTGCCAGGGTGGGAGGAGGGGAGGCGGTCACCCTTGGGGTCAGCGCGGTGGGGAAGAGGGGGTCCGTAGAGCCCCCAAAGCCCCGCTCACCTCCACGATGGCATCCACGGGACAGGCCTCCTGGCAGAACCCGCAGTAGATGCACTTGGTCATGTCGATGTCGTAGCGGGTGGTGCGGCGGCTGCCGTCGGCGCGGGGCTCGGCCTCGATGGTGATGGCCTGGCGCGGGGACAGCGTCAGCCCCGGAGCCCCTGGGCGGCGGGAGCAGGGGGAGGAAGGCTCACCTGTGCCGGGCACACGGCCTCGCAGAGCTTGCAGGCAATGCAGCGCTCCTCCCCGGACGGGTAGCGGCGCAGCGCGTGCTCCCCGCGGAACCGCGGGCTCAGCGGGCCCTTCTCAAACGGGTAGTTGATGGTGGCCGGCTCCCGGAACAGGTAGCTCATGGTCATGGCCAGGCCTGGCAGGGACAGAGCAGGGTTATGGAGGGGGATGGCACCCCGCAGACGGGCAGGGCGAGCGGGCCTCACCTCGGATGAGCTCGGTCCAGAGCAGGGTCTGCGCGGCGCGGTCAGTGATGGAGCGCATGTCCATGGCGGGCTCCTGGACGTTGACGTACTCTGCGGGAAAAGGGAGCTGTGTCTGCCCCGCACACCCCGGGGGCAGGAGCTGTGCCCACCGCAGGGAGGGGACACAGAGGGGACACAGAGGCGGCACGGCACTACTCACTGTAGCAGTCCCTGGGGGTGCTGGTGCTGAGCAGGCGCACTGGGACCGGGGGGCCTGGGGGAGGGACGGGGGAGTTAGGAGGGGTCGAGATAGGGCTTAGGGGGGCTCGGGGGTGCCTGGTGTGGCCTCACCTGCACGGGAAGCCCGGTACAGCAGTCGCAGCGCCGCCATGGCCGGTCCTGGGGTGCAGAGGGAACCTCAGGGGCTGCAAACGAGGGAGGCCCCCAACTTCCCACGGGGGGGCTTGGGACCCTGACCCCCACCCGTCCACCCAAAGAGGCCCGGACATCAGGCACCTCTCCTCCCGCGGGGACACCGGGAGGTGTCCCAACACCCCCCCGGGGACCCCAAGTGTCCCCCCAAGGGACGTGGCCATCCTGCCCCCGCCCCAGTCCACCCTGGGATGTCCCATTCCTCCTCCGAGGGACCCAAGTGTCCTCCCCAAATGACTCAGGGGTCCTGTCCCCTAAACAAAGGATCCAGGTGTCCCCCCAAGGGACTCAGGTAGCCTCCCCTACCCCCATGCCCCAAAAGCCCAGCCCCAAGCCCCCTCCCCAGCAGCCAGCAGCCACTGACCCTCGTCGCCGGGACCAACCGCTCCTGTCACCCCCCAAATCGCCGCTCACCCTCTGCGCGTGTCCTCGGGGGCGCGGTACGGGCCGCCCCCTCTGCCCTAAGCGGGACTCCCCAGCCCGGCACAGCCCCCGGGCCCCTCCGGGCCCCCCCGTTGTCCCCTCACCTGCCCCAAGGACCCTCCGGCGCCCTGACCCCTGGTCGCCCCCGCAGGCACTGCGCATGCGCGCCCGGCGGCGCCGGGTGGGCGGGGCGCGCGGCGATGGATCTGCTTCCCATTGGTCGGAGCCCCGCTGGCGGGGGAGGGAGGGCGGCCGTGCGTCACTCATTGGATGGAGCCGTGCCCGCGCGCGCGGCGATTGGCTGGGACGGAGGAGGGGCGTGTCCGAGCGGCCGGCGGAAGCGGAAGCGCGTGTTGATGGCGGTGGAGGCGCGCGTGGTTACGGCGGCGGCGCGGAGCTTCCCGGGCCCCGGCACTTCCCGGGTTTCTGGCACTTCCCGGCCTTCCGGGGCCTCCCGGCCAGTTCTTACAGCAGCAAGGGCCGCGGGTGTCGGAAGGTCTCGAACTTGGAGCGGTCCAGCCCGCTTTGAGCCACTGCAGAGCCCGGCACCGGCCACAGCCCCGAGGGAGCTGAAGGCGGGGACCAGGGCTCCAAGGACATGGAGAGCGGGGCAGGGGATCGGCCCGGGGGGCCTTCAGCGTTTGCCCGGGCCATGACCCCCGGCACAGCCGCGGGAGCGGGACGCCGGTACTGAGCATCGTCCCCCTTTCCTTGTGTTTCCCTATTAAACTGTCTTTATCTCAACACCCTTCTCAGATTCTCTCCCCTCGTCCTACCCAGGGGGATCCCTCTGGGATTCAGCCACGGCACTCCACAGCCCGGCAGGGGTGGAAATCCCTTTTCCAAGCACAACCAGCCCCCCAGACTGGAGGATCATGGTGCTGGGATCATGGAGCAGGAGAAACGAGGGTCATGGATCAAGGGAAACTGGGATCGTGGTAAAGACTGGGATCATCCCAGCATAAGGATTTGGGATGACAGCGTTGCTGTGGACCTCTCCTCAGAGCAGAGTCTTCAGTGGGGGGGACACAGGGGTGACCCTTGTGCTGTGGTGGGGCCAGCAGTGATGGAGCTCCAGAGAGCCATAAAAGGGGATGTGGGACTGGGATGGAGGGAGATGTGGGGGACAGGGGACTTCTGAGGTGAGCAGGGATGCAGTAAGATGGAAGGGAAGCACACAGGATGTGAGGAAACACCTTTCATTGCACCTGAACACCACGGCCAGAGTTGGGAAGGATCCTTGGAACGGGACACAGGGACCCTCAGAGCAGGGTACAGTCATCCTTACGTTTCACCTTGGAAGTGGCCTGGACGATCCCAAATTTCTTCTGGCTATAGGGGGGGTAGCGTGGGGCATTGAGGGGCTCCCGGCCCATCCCACGCTTCAGGCAGCCACGGCAGTGGGAGAAGGTGTCGAAGGTGAACTTCCCGTGGTACATTCCCAGGCCGCTGTTCCCTGGAATACACAGCACAGGACCCGGGGGGTGGCTGGATCTGGCCATCGTTTGGGTCACAAAGAACCCCACAGTTAAGCTCCCAGCTCCATATAAATGGCACCCCATCTTCATCCAGCTGCTTTCCAAGCCGTGGATGAACTTCCCAGGCACGTGACCGAAATCGGACCATCAAGGTAACCCAGTGCACGCCCAAATGGATGTCTGGAGTGGGAAGATCAGGCTGGGAGGTGGAAAGATTCCCAAAATACCTCTCATCAGTGGATTTCACCCTTTCAGGTAACACATTTAGCAACTGGAAGGGCATCACTGATGAGTTGGTGGCAGCAGCAAGATGCTCTCACCACATGAGCTTCCCTACCACAGGAATACCCTCCAAAACACATCCCATCCATGCTGGATCTAGCCCTGGATCCAGCCCATGCTGCAAAGACTCTGGGAGTGGAGAGGGACAATGGTCAAGGTGGCTTTGGCAAGGTGGGACCCATATCCAAGGAACAATGTCGAGAGGTGGAAGGTGACCAGCCAGGAATAAGCACAGGGAAGGCAGGCAGGTTGCCAAAAAATAAGGAAATCCCCCTGTGTGTTGATAAGGGATATGATAAAATTTCATGGGTCATCCCGAGCTGGGATTGGAAGGGACCTTAAAGATTGTCCAGTTCCAACCCCTCTGCCATGGGCAGGGACACCTTCCACTAGATTGTGTTGCTCCAAGCCCCAATTCCCAATGTTTTAAACAAGACATTTCCACGGATACAGGGAACAAAGAGGTTGGGATAGGAAATACAGAGAGAAGGAACCTCAGGGTGCTCCACGTGTGTCCAGCAAAGCCAAAGAGCCCAAGGTGAAGCGAATGGCTCCTGGAGGAGAATTTCCCTATGGGACCACTGAGCCCTCTGGAGCAGAGAGTTCCCCTTGAGACCCTTCCTGACCATGGGTGGGATCACACCTGGCTCCTGTTGGCCAGGACTGGGGGCTCTGGACATACCAATCCCTCCGAAGGGCAGCGAGGTCAGTGTCACGTGCATCAGGGTGTCGTTGCCGCAGAAGCCGCCGCTGCTC